GTGAGTTTTCAGCTCACTGGAAGTATAACAAATTGATCTGAAAGTTGGTGCAGGAATTTTTCTACTATTCTCCAGTCTTGAGGTTCAGAGCTGCAATTCCCCTCTGCGCTTTTTCTTTTTTTTTTTTTTTTTTTTAATTAAGTTTTGTGACTTTGCATTAACTTCTGGATAGTACATATCCCTGTTGGAAGTATTTTGGTATATAATACCTACAGTCACATACCTTGTTCCATTTCAAGCTCCACTGTGTAGATGTCACTCTTAGTTTTCACTTCCCTTTGATATGCAGCCTGGGAGTGTTAGCTAGCTCGTACTTCATATAGAACATCACTTCTGTGTCCTTGTATGTGTGTTTGTGTGCTTCTTGTATCTTTATACAGAGTTTTAAGCATGTTTGATAACCTGCTCCTGTTCTTACAAAACTGCCTATCACTGAATGTTTCTGGTAGTAATGAAAAGTGGAGAGTCCTCACTACGATAACTTAAGTGACAACTTATTTAGAAGTAATTCATGTTGATAACCTGTAACAACATCCTCACTGAAGAAGGGACTGAGTTTCTTCATGGTTCTTCACAATGGGTAATATAAAACATTTTATCTGCTATTACTTTAAAAAAAGGAAAGCTTGCTCTTAGAAGTCTGGTTCCTTTGTCTACTTGGTTTTTAGCTAATGTGTTCTTTTGGTAACCTTTTTATCATTTCATGGGACTGTGTAACGCAGTTCAGGAAAAGCAGGTTAATAGAAGAATATAGACTCTAAAGTGTTCTAAAAGATGGGGGGGGGTTGGTCCCAGTGGAGACTGACACTCCAGCCTACTTACTGTAGCTGGTAGGTATTGATTTTTCTTCTCCCCCATTTTAGCTGCACCGCTGAATTAGGTATTGTGAAGCATCTTTCCCTGTGAAGAGAGGAAAAACTGTCATGAACTTTTTCACCCTAACAGTACAGCATTTCAAACTAAACCCGATTGAATGGAAAAGTCTGTAAGGACTCTTAAAAACCTTGTAACTCACATCCCCACTCACTTCTCCCCCTCCAACAGCTGTTCCAGCAACCTTGAGAAAGTATGATAGATGATTGTAAGAAATTAATTTTAAATCTTATTTCATTAAAAACAACAACAATAATAAAAATTGTGAAAATGATGCATTCCTGTGGCATGATCTCCTAAGGTTAGCAAAATGGTCTCGTTCAGGTTTTCAGCAAGATGTTCAGTTACTGTTATAATTGGCTGATGAGTAGGTTTGGACCTAACTAGAATGCCAGTGTTCGATTTTGCAGTGTCCTCTGTGAAGATATGTCACCATTTACCCTGGCTTTAGTGACAATTTTCTAAAAAGGAAACTCGTGGGAAATCATTATGCTGTTTATATGTCTCCCTTGTTGGAGAGCATTATCCTGTGATATTTTACCACTGTTTTCCACTGCATGATGGCATCTAGCTAAGGTTAAGGCAGAACAAGTCCCTTTGCAATTTTGTGACTATATTTTACTTGCTGAAGGAGAAAAGATAACCGACAATTAAGTATTTCAGATGTCACTGAAAGAACATGTGCAACTAATCAATGGCATCCTTAGGGAACATGATTTTATGAAACTGATAAGGTAGAAAAATTGGGATTTTTGTGATTTGTGTTACATAATAATAATCGCACCCTTTCGATGAAAAAGACATTTCTGCTGATGTAAACATCAGGCTTTCCCTTGTGTTTTTTCCTGAAGCACGGAGTAGTTCATTAAAGTGTGACAGTAACAGATAAACACCCTTTATGATTTTCTGAGAAAATATGGTGCTTATACTCTTAGTTCAGCTGAAATCAATGCCTTTGAAAAATGTATTTCTAGAGTCACTTCCCAAATCACTTACCAGAGGTTGTGTTAGGTGTTTTATTGGGGGGGGGGGGGCTATTTATTTTAGGAAGGAAATACACATGCTGGGTTTTTTCTTAAGTTAGTCTACTTAGCACTGTGGGGCCCATATTTGAAACTCATTGCTATGAGCTTGGTAGAATTTGGACTTATTAGAAATTCACATTACTAACAAACTAATTGTAAGGTTTTATTTCTTTGAAAATACAGATCTTTAAGTTTCTGACTGCAGAGCAGACAAGGTAGTAGTCATGTTTACAAGCCAATATCATATATTCACTTGAACAAAGGCTATGTCTGAGCATGTTACATCACAAATTATAGGTAGTGGTTTAGAGACTTTACCTGCTGGTTCCTTTTCTGCTCAGCTATTATTTAAAGACGATCACCAAGTTTGCAAAATATGTATTTCTTACAAGTTTTCAGTCAGAAGTAAAAGATCTGTTGTGTTATGGGTTGTTCCAGGTAAATTAAACCAATTATGATAACATTTATTTCTGATTTAAGAGTATTTTTTTGAACAACTTAAATAGGAAGTTGAGAATGCTTACATTTTTCTCTGGATATCCATTTTGGGCCACCACCAGAGGCAGGAAATGCAGTTAGACAGACACACCTAATACAGTGTGGCTGGGGTTTTTTTGTCATTGTTGTTTTTCCCAGGTTTTTTTCTATTTTTCTTTGGTTTCTACAATGTATATTAAACATCTGAATTATGTGCTAGCCCTTTTTTATATCAAAGCCAACGAAGTCAAGCCAGAAGATAATTTGTCCCCTTATTAGTATAATTAACTTGTACTTTCATTTATTTTTTAATTCCTTAAAATGCATGTCACATTATGTTACATCAGTTGAAAAAATCCTCCTTTGTTCAATGCAGTCAGTCCTCACTTCATAAAATTCTGGAAATGACAAAATTGCAAATCAACAGAAGCAGCATCCAAAATACAGTACAGTGCAAAATTACCTTTGCTTCTCTGCAAATTCTACATTTTCAAGTTTATTGATCACTAAAACAGATGCTATTTGCTTACGCCTTTTTGTGAAATAGATTTGGTCAGGGCAGGGTTAGCAGGGGTTGGGTTGACTTGATGGATGTCATGAAAAAAACCTAAAAGAAATAGAATGAGATATTAATCTGGAGTGAGTGGAAGTAGAAACAAATAGGTTTGTAAGAGCTGTCAGGAGTTTTCCTTTTATACAGTGATGTATCCTTCTCTTCTTCCCTGACAATCACTGTTCTGTTCAGCAGCCCCAACAGGCAGTTCAACTTTTGGAAAGAGCTGTCAGGAAGTTTAAGTATGAGGTTGCATATAAGCATTGGATGCCCTTAAACATGTTTATACAACTTTTTGCAGTTCTTCATTGCATATAATTAGTAAGGTGGTTTTATTTGAGCAAATCGTACGCATTGTTATGCAATTCACGCACCTTCTGAATATGCATCCACCTCCACCACTCCTTCTGTGCATAACCTGAATGCAGAACAGGACAAATTTTGCAGCAGCAGAGTGCTGATTTTGCAGAATGCAAATGAAGTGGCATTTTTTAATGCAGCATCTTCATATAGAGGTGAACTGAAAGGCTTAACACTTGCCAACATTTCAGACCTCCCTGTTTGTTACATCAGTTAAAATCTAGAACAGAAAAGTTCAAAAGCTGCATTTTTCCCAGTTCTTTTTTTCAAACTTGTTAGTGATAGCCTCAGCTGTTGAAGAAATGTAGACTCTGAATTCAGACTTGCAAATGTAACATAAAAAAGAACCAGTCCTCAAATATCTTTCTTTTCAAATGTGTTTCTCTCTTTAAGTCTATGCACATCTTATGCAATTTTTACACTGTCTAGGTTTTCATTACACAAATAACCAAACCATTTGCTATAAAACCTGCTATAAAATCTAGATGACCTCTAGATGTCTCTTCCAATCTTATTTTTTTTGTGATCCTGTTATCCTCTACATACCATTGCATCTCCCTAGTGATATTGCAGTGTAAAAGAATACACACACAGGAGTAAGTTACCTCCCGAATGTTTCTTCTAACATAGGCTGTGAAAATGAACAGGATGAACATGGATAGCTTTACTTGTACAAGTCATTTTATTTATAAATCTAGTGAAGGTTCTTCCATGCATATGTTCACTCCAGATCAGGCTTTTATGAAGGAAAGCTCTTTAGGGAAGAGCTTGTGGCTTTCCTTGGCATGTGAAGTACAGGTGTTATCAGAACATATGGCAGTATGAACAGTAGGGGCTTAATCTTTCAGGTGAGACATTGGTTGAATTTATGAACTATTTTGTTTGCCTCATGAAAATTAAAGATCAACGATTATTTTTGGTCTGCTTCTATGAAACTGTCAGAGATTTATTGTTTCCTTTAAAAGTCATTCTTTCATGATGAACACGCACCTAAGCATCTCATTTATTTGCTACATATTTTTAAGTGTACTTGCAATTAATTTACTGAAAATTGTAAATCATCTCATCAATGGAAAAACAAAGGAGGATGGAGTCAGGCTGTTACACCATTGCTGTGGAAGAATGTGGCAGGTCTAGCCAGCAGCTCTTTGCATGGAGCTTTGTCATTAGGACTCACAGCACAGATATAAGGAGTACCTTGTAAGCTGATCTGTCAAGCCAAGCAAAGAGTTTCCCTTGTTAGCATTTACCAAGGCATGCATTAATAAAATTGCACAAAGTGGAGACTTCCTTTTTCCACTGATGTGCCAAACAGGAGTCTTCTGTGAGGTGAACGTGAAAGCACTGAGCTGTAGCTGCTTTATTTTATGTTTCAAATAAACAGAATTTTATTCACAAATGAGTGTGCCAATAACTTAGTTCCAGAATCAGACATCTCTGCTTGAGAGGCAGCTAGCTTGGCACCAGTGATGGCAGGTGAAAAAGAGTATAGTAGCATAAGCTGAATGTATTTATATGTGATTCATTAAGAAATGTGGTTTTCCTATTGAAATGAAGCACTGCAAAATAGGTGTAAAAAAAACTGGAGAAGAATTGAAAAGTGTTGCAAGTGGGAAATGTTTTGGTAGCTTGAATAAAAGTGTGTGATATCTAAAATACTAAAAAATCTTGGGTTTTGATTGTGCCTTTTTTTCCTTCTTTTTTTTTCACAGACAGTCATCTTAGAAAATGAAGAGCTCCCTAAAATATTTCTTGATTTCTTGAACGTTCGCCATGTACCTACCTTGCCAAAAGCAGAAAGCTGTGGGTAAGCTCTCATTTACTGAAAAATACGTGGAGGCCAAAAGGCCCATATCCACTCAGTGCTGATGCAATTCCATTGACTTAAAATGGCCTTGCTGCCAACTCTAACACTGTAAAATAAATGGGCATTAGCTTCATGTTTAAGTATGTTTATATATCCCCAAAAGGTGGTAAAATAAATCCAGCCTGTTCAAAGACTAAAGTGAGGTTTAATGTAATATTCTTGGAAAGCAAAGGAGAGTTTAGATGAGAAAAATATGATTTTCTCGTAGATCTTGAAGTATCTACTGAAATGTAAGATATTCATACATGCTCATTAAATTTGCATAGAAAGCCTTTGCATGTGTTTTATGGTCATAGTATCTGCACAAAATAGAAGTTAATTCTTTGGTCTTTTTATGATCTCCCTCTGTGTGTTTGAAAATGGGGTCTTTCACCTTTCTGATGACATCTACCCCAATGGCCCCATTGCCTTTCCCCTGGGAAGGGTTCTTGATCGGGGTGGGAGAAGGGAATCTTAGTATGATGAGTGTAATGACTACGGAAATACCCAAAACAGTGTAACTGGAAGCTCTCTTATCATCTGCAGCTCTAAGCTTTGTAGGGAGAATAATTTCTTTTGCTATCCAAGCTAACGTATTTGATAGTCCAGTAGCGTTACCACAACTTGCTCCCCAGAAAAGCTATGTGGCCCTTTTCCACTTTGCGGGAGGCTGTGTGGATCTGCAGTGGAGAGAAGGTGGGCTGAAAAAAGTGGAGATAATTTTGAGGCCCTCTTACACTCAGAAGTGTCTATGGCCCAGGGCGGTCTCCAGAGTGATTCAGAAGCTAACAGACTTGTAGTTAATGACATCAGCCAATACCCTCGTTGGGACCGTACCCCATCACTTCTTAGATAGATAGATAGATAGGTAGGTATGTTTGTGAATCTGTTACAGTAAAATGGATGCTGTCATTTCCAAGTAGTGGTTGTTGTAAAGTGATAATCTCCCACATTCATTTCATCACACTGCATTATGCAGCTATTGACCAGAAAAAAGGTCGCTCCCTTTGATGGCTCTTAAAGGATTTGGAGGGTTTTTTTATTGTAGAGTTAATTTTGTTGTAACCAAAGTTTCCTCTCACTTTACTTGCAGCTCTTTTGATGAAACAGAATCTGAAGAATCGAGGTGAGCTTGATTCCTACTCTTTTTTAGGATACCAGATTAATAAACTACTTGAAATTATTGGCATTTACTGTATTTGTTCCTTCCAGATGACGAAATAGCAGTGGTTTAGCATTAAAATTAGATGTGCTTGTTAAATATTATGGCTAGTTTCATCTGCTGTGCTAGATCCATCCATTTGTAGAGTGAATTGAGCATCCTTACACTTGTATTGGGAAACTCCTTACAAAACCATAATAGAATACTACTAGCTCTGAAATATTTCTGGGAATGTTTTTTACCCATCAAAGTGTGGTTTTTTGTAGCAAGAAGATTCAGCAGAAGGAATTAGAGGTTTGGTTTCTCCCCTCTGTGTTTGATAGATTTTTGTAGGTATCTGGTTGCACTACTCGGTATGTGTATCTACAGAGCAGAGTGGAGAGGGCTGGTGCTGGCTGGGGGAGGATGTCTCTACCATATCCAGGGTGCGAGACAGCCCTGTAAGGGGCATCCAAGGACTTTCTCTCCATGGGTGAGGTGTACAGCAACCAGTTTGAGAGCTGGAAGAACGTGGTGAAATTTTGAGTCTGTCTGGTGGCCTGAAGAGCCTGTAGACCATGGAGCCTGGTTGTAGGTGATTTTGTAGCCTGCATTACACCAAGTACCAGGGAGCAGAGCAGGATCGGGAGGTCTCAAAGCCAGCTGCAAGCCGCCCCTCCTAGATGCAGCCCCTGGACCTCCAGCTTCACACTGAGGGTTTCAGTGTGTGGCTGAGAGGCAGCTTTACTCCCAGGAGATGGAGCCTGCCCTTTTTGGGCAGCGTGGGTGTGCAGAAACGCACCGGCAAGGCTCGACCACCTCACTTTGTCAAAGCTAGTTTGTAGAATATTCTGTTTGCTGTCCCTTGATACTGACATCCCTGTTCTTGACCTTTCCAGCAAACTGTCCCACCAGCCTGTGCTGCTGTTCCTAAGGGATCCATATGTCTTGCCTAAAGCCAACGGTAATCAAACCTGTCATCTGTTAACAGCGCATTACTGATCTGACCCTGCACTGCATAAACCACATTATTATTAATACCAGCCTAGTCAAATGACACTGGTCCAAAATCTAATAACCTGCCAATAAAACGATAGTTCTTGTGTAAGAAACCATTAAAACACTAAGTGGGGTGGGTGATTTATAAAAGGGTGGAATTTTCTCCCCCAGTTGTTCTCTCAGACAAACCTACGGAGAATTCAAATCAAAAGATAAAGAAAATTGCTTTGCTTTTCTTGTTGACCCTTTGGTCTGTTTTGCCTGAAGGATTTGAACTTAGAGGCCCAGTCCTTTGTAAGTGCTTTTTCCCTAAACACCAGTCGATCTACTACGAGCATGTTTGTATTTCCATTTGGACTATTACTATTTCTTATCGTTTATAACCTCTAGAGCTCTTTAGGAAAAAAAAAAAAAAGAATGTATACTTTAAGTATAATTGATGTGTTTCACAGGACATTTACATTAGCCTTCATCTCTTAATACATGGTTCAAAAGAGTTTGAAATAGCTTGTTATAATCCCCTTTTTTTATAGAAAGTTCTCTGCATTATTAATTCAGAGAACTTACCCTCCGTCTTAAATTAAGTAAGTGCAGGGAAAAAAAATATCATTTTTAATAGTGTGTTCTTCCTGGTTTTGTCATTTTACTTGTTCGAACTGTTACTTATACTAGTTTTTGTATTAAAAATGTAATGCACTTTCAAGGGAGAATTTTCTCCCAGAGCTGCAAATTAAGATTTTTTTTTTTTTAATGTGGCATTTTGTTTGATTTTACAAAATACTGTGTTGAAATCAAGAGTCAGGTTGTTGAGCTGCTTGGAAAATCATTACATTTTTAACAGTAAATTTAGGAGAGAACACTTATTTGCTGTAGTTTCTTGGCCAATGAAGTGTACTTCCTTGAGATTTTCTGAAGTTGTATATAAATACCTGAAGGGAGGGTGTAAAGAAGACAAAGGCTCTTTTTAGTGGTGCCCAGTGGCAGGACAAGAACATCAGGAAACACTCTTTCACTGTGAAGGTGCCCAAGCCCTGGCACAGGTTGCCCAGAATGGTGGTAGAGTCTCCATCCTTGGAGATACTCAGAAGCCATCTGTACGTGGTCCTGGGCAACTGGCTGTAGGTGTCCATGCCTGAGCAGGGGGTTGGACCAGATGACCACCACTTATCTGTTCCAGCTGCAACTGTTCTGTGATTCGGTTGTTTTTACAAGCCGTTTTTCAAAACCATAGGGACTAGGCTCATGTATTTTGAGATGGTTAATAGTCTCTCTTGCAGGCAGTGTCCACTCTAGTAGTGTGGCCCAACAGCATTAACCCTATGGAGTCTTACTGAACTTAAAGTTGTAGTTCTAGAGTGAAACATTGAGTGCAGAGGTCCTGTGTGACCGAGGTCCATGTTAGAAGACTGTCATGGTTTAACACAACCACACTGACGTGGTTATGAACATTATTCTCATACTAAATCCAAAACATAACACTATACCAGCTACTAGAAAGAAAATTAACTCTATCCTAGCTGAAACCAGGACAAAGACATATTACAGAGTCCTTTTGTTTTTATTTTGACTTAGCACTAATCTGGTCATGTGGACTGAATGCCCATTTGAGGCTGGAGTGCAAATCACAAAATCAATGAACTGAAGCAGAGTAAGGGGATATGGTCACTTCACAAGTTGACTCCTGACCCAAGTGACAACAGTAATGCAGAAGCACCCACAGAGTTACCTCTGTCTAAAAGTTGGTCGAGACAGTGCCTGTACTGAGAGTGAGCCACATTGCATGTCTTAATCTTATTATTCAATGCTCCTTGTAATTGCAAACTTGGATTCCTCAAGAGCAGGGTGTAAATTATGAACATCGTTTAATTCCATACCATTCCTAAGAGAGAAAATGGATTTCATATACAGTTATCCTGAAGAATGAAGACAGCGCTTAATGTTTTGTGTCCACATGTAAGGTTTTGCTGTTAAGACTTCTCTTCAAGATTTTGCGGTTCTATGATGGTATTTATCTTCCTTCCCTAATGTGTGCTCTGAGTAAAGCTAAGCTTCTTTTTCTTGAAATCATTAGCAACTTTATAATGAATTTTGTAACTACTCTTTTAAGTAGTGCTTTACTTGGAGTAAGATAAAAGTCTCTTCTAATGCGTGACATATTTAAATATTAAGTAGGCCTCATTAATGACATCTGCAACAAAGGACTTTTCAGGCTTTTGCCAAGGCATTTTTTGGCCTTGACACACAATATTTAGAATTAGGTGAATATTCTTTGTATTTGAAGACCCTAAAACATCAAATTTATTTGCAAGTTATGCTTTTTAACAATGGATTAAAACACAAATTAGAATGTGAGTTGTAGTTTTAAAAAGGCAGAAACCCAAGCTGTAAGTCTAGAGGTTCTACAAGTTGACTTAAGTCTAGTTAGAAAGAAACAAAGTTTTTACACAAATACCATTGCCTTTAATTCTTCTTGGTTTTAGTTTGCAGCAAAGAGAAAATACAGATGAGCTTTCTAAAATTTTCTCTCTCAGATCAGTTCTTAATTTAATAGACTCTGATTCCTTTGTAAAAAGCAGCCAAGGTTGTTCAAACTATGGCCAATATTAAGTGTCCATTAGCAACTAACCATTCATTGTGTGTACTCTCTGAAGATGGTGAATTGTGACAGTTGATTGAATCAGAGATGGAGTTGTCTTTCCTGGATACAGGAATGCCTGTGTTAACATCTTCCTGTAAGATAGGAAATTGTGTATTTGTGGGATTTTAAAGAAATAAATACTTGTTTTTCAAACATAATACTCATCACTTTTTTTTTCCCCTCATTGCACTGTTACTTGTCTTCATAAAATATAGTCTTGCCATTATTCTAATGACTGGACTTCAAGCATTTTTGAGTTGCAAGGCAACTTTCCAAAAATAAGATTCACAGTTACATACCACATTGATTTTCAAAGTCACTTTTTCATGATGTATCTAACACAGTCTGAGCGCATGAGCACATCACTTTTTTTGTGTAAAGTGGCTACTTCTTTTTGAGGGGGTGGAAAAAACCAGTTACTTACTATTCTGAAGAAAAATGAAGGAAAAATCTAAAATTCTGCAAATTGAATATGATACCTCAGAAGCTAAAAAATGGAATCTCAGATTTACTGTCACTTGTTTGAAAATTGTTCTGACAATTCTTTAAGCTGTATATCATAGATCTGCAAGACTGCTTCGATGTATTTATACATTTAACTTAAATTAATTAATATGCTTGATTTTTTTAAGCAACAAAGCCTCACAGTAAATCTGATGCTGTAAAGTTGCATCATCTTTTTAATCAATACTCATTTTCCTATATATACTGTATGTTATAGAAGAACCAGTAAAAACTGGTCTCTGGAACTGCAGCATTTAATTTAGAAGGAAAGCATCAGATTGCCCTTATAAGTGTATTTTTAATAACATTAATGACAACAGCATACGGTTATTCTACCAGGGTGATTTGGGATAGCTGAGCTTGCAGGACTTGGAGGAATCATTATTGGATTCAAAATATGAACAAGTAATTTATAATGATGATTTACTATGAGAAGTTGAGGAGAATTATGCATATATTGTTTATGATGGAGGTTGCATTTCATTAAAACATCCTAAAATATCTCTGTTTATAATATCTTTAGTATAATACCTATGAGGTAACACCTTCAAGCAAACATAGATTATTTTTTTTCCTACTGAGTCCAAATCTACTTTTTGCTCACTATTTTTACCTCCAAAATGATTTCAGCAAAAGAATTAGGGGCAAAACCTAATTCCCACCCACATTAGGTGATCTAATTTATCAAGTATCTAATGATTTTTATGAAAGTTGCCTCTCCCCTTTTTGAATATCCTGTAGGCTGATAGGTGATGGAAAGATGTGATTAGTGTGGAAGTTCTGTATCAGAAATACTCTGTTCTTCTAAGCAAATCCATTTCCTAGTGTACTAGCAATTTTAAGATTGTAAGATGTCATCAGAAATTCTTACTCTTAATGCCCAGTGATTTAAGTGAACCCTTCATTAAAAACGCAGGAGTTGGTGCATTTGAAAAGTATTTTCACTTCAGTAATGTACATCCAGCCATTCCTCTGCGTGGATCTATTACTGTGCTCTATCAGGTAATTCTTTCATGCTGAATTTAACATGAAAATTAAGTGCCAGTTTCCTCTACATCTGTGGTAAGAACATAGTGGGTTTTCTTCCTTCAGATACTATAGGATGCCTTTTGTAACACGTGACACTTTATGTTGATTAGACAGCCTGAAATTTTCCTGCCTCAAATAATCATCTCTGATTGTACAGGCATCCTCAAGTCTTCTGTCTAAACATTGCTGTAAACCACAATGGAAAAACAGCTTTGAAGTATTCCCAGTAGCAATCTTGGAATTTCTTCAAGTATATTGAGATTTTGTTAGAAATTGAATTGCCAGTGTAATCCATCTTCCTTGTGAGAAAAGATTCAGATCAAGAGCTGGAGCCTAGCAGCATTAAGTATTAGAACATCCCTTTAAATCAATAAGCTACAAATCTGGCAGCGCATTCATGCAATGCCCAGTGCTACACTAAAGTGGCTTTAGTGCTGAAACAGCATTACTAATAGCACATCCCCAACATGGATAAACAGCGAGTGATGCAGTAACCCAAATTATACAAGGCCTTACCTAGTTAAGTTTCACAAAAACATTTATATTTTACTGACATAGATAAGAAAGCAAGGGTTTTTTTCTTTTTTTTCAGATGACTTTCCAAACGTAGTTATAGAAGGCATTCTACATGGAATATTTTACCCTCATTTACTGCCCAGGTAGAGGTGATGCGTGGCTAGAAGAAGCTGAAGCAAGTCTCCGAGACATGTTTGATGGAATTAACAGGAGTAAAATTCTGTGATGTGAAAATTATGCTCAGAAGCAAGAGCCACAACCTCAGTTTAAGTTCAAGCATTATATCTTTTTAAATAAAATCAATGTCACTACAACTGCTGCTTTTAAAAAAAAGATATGAAAACAACAGTATTGAAGTTAAGTGATACATTCTATATATTGACATGCTCTAACTATTTAACACTAAAAGCTGAAAGTCATACACTGAATTGCCCTAACCTTTCAAAAGAATTGAAAGCTTTACTAATTATTTCTATAATTTCTATCATAAATGACACTAAACATTTTTACACCATGATTTTTCCCAGCACATTACCCATTGCTGGCAGTGGATGGATTAAAAGTGCTGGCACTGAGAAGAGTGTGTAAGAAATTGCCAAAAAAAAAAAATATTAAAGCAAGAAGAAATTGAAAGCGATTTAAAGTATTTTGTTCATTTTTCTTAAATTATTTTGAATCTGCTTTTTAATATCAGGATGGAAAACAGCCAGTGCATGTGTATGAAGAGTTTCTAAGGCAAAAACATGCCTCCACATTCTGAAATAATACATAGCTCACTCTCAGGAAATTTTCTAGATTTCAGCTGAAATAATTTTATCTAGCAGGAGATTTTACATGGCATTTATGCACCTCCATTCAGTTACGACATCCAATCTGTGTGTATGTTTGCTTGTCACATCAACTTGCAGACTGTATTCCATATCTTAACATTTTATAAGTCACAGAGCATACAACTCTGTGGTAAGCTAAAGCAAGAATATGATTACGTAGTAAAATGACAAAACTAAAACTGATACATATATATATAATTATATATATGTATTTGTTCAGGTTTAACTGGAAATTTTTGTGTGCTACTGGACATTACAAAATAAATTACTACAACATGAATGTACTGCTTCAGTGTATTTTTGGTGTTTGTTCAAACAAGACATTTTTCTGAGCTTGTATCATCAGAGATGGGTTTTACAGATACTCCACATGAAGCATGAGAAAATACCTGGGTGTCTGCTCATTTAAAACTCTCAGCACCATGCTATCTGAACATCCTAGGCTTATAAAAAGTGTGTATCTTGGGGCAAAAAATTCAGTGTAATTGAACAGCCAGCAAGTCATTGGGTTCATCAGAGGAAGGGTGTTGCATAAAAGTGGTAATGGCAAAGCTAGACACAACAGAAGTCTGATCCTGGAGATGCATGGGTTGCCTCCTGCTGACTACTAAATCTGTTTTAAAGCTGCTTGGGGCTGGTGAAAAGCTGGGACTTGTATGAAAGGTAGGCCTGTGACTGCAGCACTTTTTCAGGTAGCAGAATTCTCTACACTGTCTCCAGGATCAACATCCAGGAAAGCTTTCAGCTATTAGTGGAAAGCTATATGGGCAAGGGAGTCTGAGGCATTCTCACTCTTACTTCCCAACACTGCTTCCCAGTGCTGCTTTTCAGAGACTTTTACTTTAAGCAGTTAGTAGAAAAGTGAACAGGGGTGAAATGCAAGTCTGATTGCCTAGTACTAGGCAAATTTAGAGGCCCTCAACACATTCTTCTCTAGCTCTGTTTTTAAAGAGGACTGTAATCCTCTCACAGGTCTCTGAAAAGAAGTGTCGGTATTTACCCTCAGGAGAGGCCCCAGGTATGGATGGTGAACCACAGAAGCACCCTTGTAAGAACAAATGACATGTCAGGAGGACCCGAGGTAAATCCCTGCCCACTGTGTTTTCCTGTTCCTTGAGAGGGGGGTGCCAGTAGGTACCTACAAGCTCTGTGCTGTAGGTACTCACTCTTCCCCTGCGCCACTCAAAGTCTGGATGCCTCACATGGGCTCCAGGACACCCTTCAGGAAACTAGTCACTGCAAAGATTAAGTGATATGCTGCCTACTGTGCAGGTGGATGAGTCCTTCGTCAGATCTTGGCATTGACTCTTCAATCTTCAAGTTCTACAACACTGGAAACTCAAGAGAAATAATCCACATCATCTTCCTATGGAGTACTACATAACTCACTTAAAGAACCTAACAAATACAGCTGTCTTTAAATGGTACCTTATGGTGACCTTCTTTAAAAGCTACCAGTTAAGTTGTCAGCTTAAGAGTTATTTTAGAAGCATTACAAAAATAATGAACCTAAAGTTGCATCTCTGATGTACAGCAAAACCGCAATAAAAAGCATTTCAGCTTTATCATAAATAACATTAGCTTGGTGTTATAAAATTCACTGTGCTGCAAAACAAGGGACTCTTCTATTTTAATCAGTTTCTAACTGATGATCTTATTTAACAATAGACAGAGCTGCTCTTTCTCGGTTACAGGATTGTATCTGAATACTGTGGGTTTTTGAAAGACAGCCTGGACTTTATCTGACACATTGAGAGAAATTTACCATCCCTGCTCTAACCTTACAACCTCATTTCCTGGAAAGCAGCACCCCCTGCTTATTTCGCAGAATTTACTGAGGTGAGAAAAAAGGCCTTTGTGGGGGGAAATAAAAAAAACTCTTCATTAAGTATTTATTTGAAATCAAAGTTTATTTATTCAAAACAGTCCTGTATTTAATTTTTTTTGTTTGTTTTTAAAATGCTGATACTGTTACAGAAAAATATTTTCAGTTGAAAAGGCAGAAACAAATATTGCAAAAAATTTCCAGAGAACCTTGAAAAAACAGAAGTAGTTCTAAAATTTTTCATGAAAGACTTTTTCTGCAAGATCTAGTATTTAGTGGGGTATGTCCTGAATTTCAAGGAGTGACAGCTCCATCAAGTTGTTATATTGGCAAATGGTAAGTATTGTCTAAATATAGCCTCATATGTTTTGAGACAAAAACTCAATGGATAGTTGAGATCAGTCAAAAACAGGCCTTAAAGAAAAGTGCTCAAGTTTTACTTTCCATTCTGACTGTTGCTCTCACCAGTCACCTACTTCAACTACAAATGGTTCTTTTACAGCTATTTTGCCACTGTTCACAATCACACAGTCTTGAAGGGGCCGGTCATGTTCATCTGTCTGCTGGAGTTCTATTGAGTGCACCACAGACTGTAAAAAAAAAAAAAAAAAAAAAAAATTCAGTTTAGCCAAGGAAACTCCAGTGGCTCAAGTCTGGTACCAGGTAAACAACTAAGTGCTCCTAGCATTACAATTTATTAAGCAACTTCTGAACAAAGACCTTTACCCTGTTGAGTTCCCATGTGCCTTTCCAACCCCCTATTAACAGTTGTGCCACTCTACCACCCACACACAGTTGACAGAAGCACATGGAAGGCTGTTTGCCCTTCTATAAAAACTTTCAGCCAACAAAAATATCATGAAGAGGCAACAAAATACCCTTTCAGCTAATCGACCTAGCACATACAGGGTCTATCTGTAACCTATGAGCAGAAAGTGAATCCAGAGAACATAAAGGATAAGCAATAATTATTTTTCTAATCATACAGCATAACTGTCCATGCTTCAAGGAATCTGATGACTGCTTCTACCTTTAGTGTAACACACACATATACAGATTTTAAGTGTGGTACGAAGCCCTCCAGTCAGACAGGTACAGGTAAACTACGGGCCTCATGCTAGGCAACTAATTAAAGTAGTATTTTTAAAGGACAAAATTTAGTTAGGAATACTGACTACCTGGCTTTGGATATCTGTTCATTAATCTAACTAAACTAAAACTTAGTCCAAGTCTCTCCTCAAAAATTTTCAGCTACTACTGTAGCTCATGAGAACAGATTTCAATATGAATGTGGGAGTGCAGTGCAAGTATTCTAATGAGGTTCTCAAACTCCTCAAAGAACTGGTCAGTGCAGCAGGTCATGTTTCCCCTGTTCGTTTCAAAACACAGACTAAATGGAATAATTTAAAAGGAAAACCAGACTACTGGAAGTATAATCAGTTGGAAGAACCATTTTTGAACTTAAATTCTATTTGGCCCTTGTACAGTTTTGCAGCTGTGTATGGTTTGAGGGAATTAACTACTTTTTTTTTTCCCCCCAGATCTGAATACATGTATTTGTAAACTTTATATTTACATGCTTCTAAAAACTGTAACAATGAAAGTGTTATCCATGGCTAGTACATGCTACAAAATTAGATTTTAGCTTGTAGAAATAAAATTATTTCATGGCTAACAGCGTTAGTGAAAGGGGGACCTGAACTTACTCCATTTGTAATCTGCAAAGATGTCAGTGTTCATTTCAGTGGTTAGTGGTCTGAAACAAGAGCTGTGAAAGCCAAAGGCATGATTTACGTTCCATTTCTGCAGTCACCATTTGCTATTTCAGTTCTAAATCATCCAGTTCCAGGCTCTTCACTATCATTTTCTACCATGTACATATTAGATAAACACTTTTGAACCACAACAGTGTAAATTACACTAACACAGATAAAATGCAGCAGAATTTGTCCAGATTTTCTTGGATTAACCCTGCCACTAATTTTAGCTTACCATTCCATCAAGGACTTTGCCAAATACTACATGTTTTCCATCTAACCAAGAAGGCTTTGTCACACTGATGAAGAATTGGGATCCGTTGGTGTCTGGGCCAGAATTAGCCATGCTAACCCATCCAATTCCATAGTGTTTGAGCTTGAAGTTCTCATCTGGAAACCTTTCTCCATAGATGCTTCTTCCTACGACACAAAATACGAAAGCAAACCTTAACAAAAAAAAAAAAAAAAAAAAAAAAAAAAACCCCCCCCCACCCCCCTTTTTTTAAAAAAGGGAAAAACAAAAGTATAAATTCAGGACTTGAAGATTCATTGTTTGAGTAAGTACAGCAACATCACTTCCATCATCAGTGATTCCATAACTGAAAGCATTTTGCGTGTAAAGATAGGCTAAAACACCACATATAAGAGGAGAGTATTTAAAGCTCATAATGCTCTATCCTTTGAATTTAACAAGCAAGCCGAGTACCTTCAAAGGTCCTGCTTACATACAGCACTGAACAATAGTATACTTCACCCTGTTGAACAAATTTAAAGTACATAATTATGGCCACTAAAAATAAGGTTGCCATGTTTTGTGACAATTTTAGTCTTCACTTTTACAACTTCTCCTCCTGATAAGAAATTGCTTTAGACACGTTTAAATACATGAAGAACAAATGGAAGTTAGCTTAAAAGACTCAGTGTGAAATTTCTGAGTGGAATAATAATAATGGAATCATTACATAAGGATTTTGATGTTTCTAAAATTGTTCAGAAGGGAAACCGTTTAAGTCCTGTTCAAACGATCACCACTTTGAAAACAGAAGGATGTCTTCCCTCATTATTTGTGCCTACCACAATGGGTACACTGCTTCCAACACCATCAGATACCATCCCAATAAACAGTATTAGCAGGCAAACAAACCCTGCCTACCTTTAATGCTAAAACTGTGTCTTTGGTATTTTGGCCTTCCCCATTGTTCTCTGCAAGGAAAAGGAATGTGTGTTTCCCATTCTGTCCCAGCAGGGAAATCACTAACATTGAATGTACGCATAAGAGAAGAGACGAAATGAGAAGCCAGACTGCATGCAATGCACGAGATGCTGCACTGGGATTGCCCTCCTTAGCTCACTGAACTGGTCTTCTGGAGGCTCAGGAGGGAGAAATGATACAAACAGCAAAAACTCACACCACCAGTAAGTTTATGGTTTTAAAGTTAGTAGGAGAAAAAAAAGAGGGCAGAGGACATGACCCTCATTTTCTAATTTCTCTACCCCTGATTTGAAATTCCCTCCCACAGCACATTTCAGAAGGTTCCACAGAACTGGCTGACCCGAGGGCAGAAAGGACAGCCTACTCCTTCCCTACCTGCCTTCCCTCTACACGCTTTCACTGTTTTCTGCTGATGACTCGAACTGGTTCACATATACACGCAATCAATGAGTGCCTCAGGGAATGAGCGCTGTCACAAAGCCAGAGCAGGGGAAGGGCGGAGACATCCGTCTTTTGGAGACAGTATGTTGTAGGAGCAGCTCAGCTGGTCAAGTGGCTCCAGCCCACCACACAAAGCCATGCTTCTTGAATGGGGACAAGTCACAGACAGAAAAGAGCTATCTGCAAAAATTGAGGACAAAGGAAGCTCTACACATACTTATAATCAGAAAATCCAAATAATTGCAGCCTTGTGTTCCAAGATGCTTCGAAAAGTACTAGATGCTCCAATACAAGTGTTTGGGGTTTTTTTTCATTTATGGGAGCTGAAAGAATGAGGGAATATGCTGTTTTGCCCATCTTTTCAGCAGACATTTGAAAAAGGACAGGGAACCTGTAAGATACTAAGCATGTTTACCTCCTGATCCATCTCCAGCTGTGAAGTCTCCTCCTTGAATCATGAAGTCTTTGATCACACGATGAAATTTACTTCCTTTGTATCCATATCCTCTCTAAGAAAATTAATTAATTCTTTAAATGAATGTAACATCCAATTCTATACAGTCACATGGAAGTACACATGTAGTGCGTGGCCAGATTTCACAGAATATACCACCACTGGAGACAAATACTGGCAAGAAACAAATTAAACTGAGATACAGGTGAATGGAGCTGGGCTACTGCCACAAAGCAGGTATTACTCAGGTGATCAAAGCCATTGTCTTTATTTGACTGGTATCTGACCACAGTACCTCTACATGCTAGATCTGCATGGCAGGGACAGATTGAGGGGGTGATATCCAACATCTCGTAATTACATCTTGTGAACCAAGCCCCAAGGACATGAGAAGACATGCACCAGTGCACAGCCTTGGGGATGGCACTCTTGCACAAGCTCCACTGAATTAAAATCGACAGTTCACAATTGAAACAGCATTAAACAAATATTTACTTCCCAATCCCAACTTGAGTACACAGTGGAAGAAAACCACAAACGTACTTCTCCAGTTGCCAGCGCAATGAAGTTCTCCACAGTCTTCGGGACAACTTTTCCAAACAATCCAATTACAATTCTGCCAACATCTTTGTCTCCAATCTTCACATCAAAGAACACCTGAACGTTTTTATGAAAACAACAAAAGTGATAAAAATGTGAGCACAACAAAAAGGCCAAGCTTTTGAAAGCATAAGGTGGTAACAAACTGCTTCTGGCTGGTCTGTATTAACAGTATCCTTCAATTTCTGAGGGTGCTGTTCAAGAAAAATCCTTTCAGAGCTACCGAAATCAGATTATGCAGAAAACTGTTTGAGAATTGGTGACTATACATTTTGACTCTTACTGCTTTTAAGGGCTCAGTGAGACTGCTGTATCACAAGTTTGAAGGTAGTGTTCAAGAAGATTTTTCCCAGAAATGCACATCTTCAAAGCTGTACAGAAAAGATGAAATAGGAAAATAAGGAAGAACAATGACGCTATTCCCATGTAGTGAACAATAACAAGGAACTACAGTACTGACAGTCCCCACAAACAGTATTGCTATCCACTCATAATCTTCACTGTTCTAGGCATTAGTATGCATGTGATTAAGTGTAGGTGAAAGCCTAAATTTAGTTAAATTGACAAACAGTGGGAAGAAAATCCTACGGCTCAAGCAACGAGTTGCTTTCCCAAATATGAATTCAAACCTGATAAGAGAAATAACCAGGCTACATTATTCACCTGATTGCCTAAAAGCTTCAACATAGGTGTTGCTAAAATGCAACTTCAAAAAGGCAAATGAGTTATGAAGCATTTTAATATAGTTCAGAATATATGAATGCATATTTGAAGATGCAAAAATGTTCCAACAATTACTTAAAATAGGAACAGCTGTCAGGAAATGAGGCATTTTGAAGTTCTGAAAAAGTTACATAAAGACTATTACTGTTCTAGGAAACAGCAACGTGTATTCCTATTATGTGGTATTTGCTGTTCCTTGTGGCACTTGACCAAATATTACTTGTCTGCAACGCTCAGAAATTAGTCCAATAATGATAATAAATGGGCACAGTCTCTCCAACGTGAATGCCTCTTTCACGCTGTCCTACTAAACATTTCTACCGTTTCTTGATCTCCCATGTGGTTTTGACTGTTGAACTTTTGGCTAATGCTATAAAAGCTCTATAAAGAAAATAAAATTCCTTTTGATACACCTCATTCATTTCCCTGGCACTTGGCACTAAATAACATACTACTTAGATGTGTGGCTCCCAAAGTATTAACAGCACACTTTCACTAACTTAACGTTTTTATAAGCATACCTCTCTGAATTTTGCCACCAGGGTTATCTAAGTAAGGGGTATTGCCTGCCTACGTTTTCTAAACACACCTTATTTTGCCTGGAAATGTTGTCCTAGTAGAAAGACTGCCTGAAATATATAAGCATATATAAGTAACACAACCAAGGCTACCAAGCTAAGACCCCAGATAGTAGTGACATCAAACACTGGCACAGACCACATGCAGACACATCCACCATATGTTGTAAACCTAACCCAGCCTGAAGCTTTCATTCATGGCAGAGCTGCTCGCTTAAGCAGCAAACCCAATACTTCCAAAAAGCATTGCTTCAGGTTATTCTGTGCTTGTAAACAAACAGTAAGTTCCTGGCTTCCTGTTAACATTCCACATAGCTGTGCTACATGATTGGTGATTTTTTGAAAGCTCTGCACTTTAATTACGCACCACATAACATGTCTGTGCACATTTCTGGCCAGGAGATCAAATACAGAAATATTTGCTAGCCCTAGATGCCATTTTTGTGTAAAGAAACCATGTTCTTTTAAACATATTTTCTCAAGTTCTCTGGAAACTCAGTAAGCATGGTCAACACAGCAAACTCAAATCTCAAAAAACATCTGGCCAGATTCTTCACCAAAAACTCTTAAAGAAAATAAATATTATAAGTTTTCAGTCCTATTAATATTTATATAAATACTTAATCTTATTTACAATTTGCAGTAAGTATTTCACAACTGAAATGAAAAAGAGCGCACCAGTAAGACTGGCTGGTTCTCATGAACTTATATATAATTTACACAAGATGGTGTATATCAAAATGAAGAAACAGCCAAGAGTATTCAATTATTCGGGGGGGGGGGGGGGGGGCAAAGACTCCTAGACACCAGGCAATAAAACAACAAATGCAAAATACTACATGTGGAAGAGGACTATATAGCCATAATAAGGGGTCCTAAATTGGCTACCACTCAAAAAAGATATCTGGAGCCTGATTTGATGAGCATTTTGATGGAAAGTTTGGCTCTGGACTTGTGAAGGTCACAGAAGGAAAATGAATGTTAAAAATAATTAAAAATGGATAAGGATAAGAGATGGGCATAATTACACCATGGTATAAATCTGTACTGTGCGTTCACACCCCGAGTGCTGCATGTAATTCTGGCTTCTTTATTGCAGAATGGTAAAACCAACCTGAAAAAGGCAGAGAAAACGGCAGCACAGATGCTCAAAGATCTGGAATACCTTTTATATGAAGAAAGATTAAATAAAACTATGCAAGCTGAAAGAGAGAAAACTGGTGTGATTTGCTGAGCTCTGTAAAGTTATGACTGGCTTGGACAAGGAAAATTGGCACAATTAAACTGGACTACATTGCCAGAAGATGATTTGGAGGCCAAAGCCTACAAGATTTACCACCCCCCACCCCCAAAAAAATGAAATTCACGGACTAGAAACTGTAGACAGTTGTAGACAATGGTGACAATGAAGTTCAGAGAAAAAGGCACAGCCTGTGGCTTAGGAAGCTGAAGCTGCGCCAGAGGGAGCAGCTCTGCCCCTGCCCTGCCCTGCCACGCTTTCACCAGTGCAGGCATCTTTCACCAGGAACACGGCACTCCCTCGTGAGTGCAGGTGGAGAGGTTGTTGGGGGCAGACACATCTAATCCCTACTTTATCCAAACACGGACCTCCTGCACCAGCAAAAACTTTCTGGGAAGGGATGCCGGTACGTTGCGATAAGCGGGTCCACCCCCGCCCCGCTGCCAGGCCCGCCAGTCCGTCTCTTGGGCAGTGCCAGCAGCAATTACCGCACACGCCTCCGGCGCAAACCCCGTCCCGCCTGCGGAGACCTGCGTGGCCGAGGCACGCCGCTTGGCTGGCAGCGCGCTCCGAGGGACGACGCGGTTCGGCTTAGGTTCTGACCCACGGCAGCTGCCCAAGCCCGTCGCGGCAGGGCGCGGGAAACAAGGGGGCAATAAAGTGACAGTTCACAACACCGAGAGTTTCAGCAAAGGCGGGGGGGGGGGGGGACGCCAAAAATAAATACAGCACAACTGAGCCCCAGAGCGGGTGAAAGCCCACTGCTCAGCGCAGCGCGGACACCACGGCGCACGCAGCCCCCACGCTGCCTACGGCGGCGGCAGAGACGGCAGAAGCAAGGATGTAATTACCAACCGCAAAGTTACCCTGTCTGTAAGCTAGGGGCAGGCTGAGCTAACCAGCAAGTTTGAGGTGTGCCAGCGGCTACAGAAAGGGGGCATGCCCAAAGGGGTTAAAAAAACCAAACCAACCACACAACGCATTTATCAAACGGGAAAATTAAGGCGCTTGTCCGAGCCCTCCCCAAACCCGACCCCCGCAGGGGCCTCCTTTCTGCCCGGAATCCGGCCCGGGAAGGAGCGAGCCGGCGAGGGACCAGCTCGACACTCTAAAACCGGGGTAAAAGGCTGCCAGGCGGCCCCCGCACCCTCAGTAGGCGCCGACAACGGCCGCGGAGCCGGCAGGGGAAAAAAGCCCCTTCGGGGGCCCGCTGAGGAGACGCCGCGGCCCCCTCACGACCGACCGATCCCGACTCGCCTCAGGCCGGCGGCCGGGGGGGCTTCCCCGCCCGCGGAGGCGCACCGG